GTACATATTAAATTATCGGAACTATAAAATTAATTGAGTTTAAACGTAACAGATTTTTGGGTGACGCTTGGTTCGTGATGCGTCATTAGCTAACTGAGTTTTAATTTAAATAAACATGATTACGACACAACACAACAAAAAACAAATATATATTAACATTGGGTATCCCAATGTGCTAAAACTAGAATCTATACTAACTTTTGGCCCGTTTTCATATACATGCAATCTAGTAAGATATTTAGATTCATGTATTTTAATTCGCCAAGAAAATCCAAATTGCTTGCTAAATCAACGTATTTATATATTACTGTATTAGGGGTTTCAAAGTTAACGTGCGGAAATCTAATTTCGACAAAAATAAATAATGTATTTATTTTTCAAATGAGCGATGCATCAACTTTATTTCATTTTCCGATAAATTTGAAATAATAATTTTTGTTATTGAAAAGTTATTTATTCCGTTAAATGGGAGTTTCTAAACACTCCTATTTCATTTTCCGATTTTAAGATTTTGAAATGCAAATAAGATTTCCAAACTTCCATTTATTTTAAAATGCGCTACTTTTTTCTTAACTTTGAAATCCATGTTATAAAAATGTTATAAAAAACGATAATATGTAGAATCAAATATAACGTAAAACAAAACTACCCAATTTATTTGAAATTTTTTCAATATATATTTTTTATATAAAATAAGTTCAATTTAAATTCTTCGGTTCTCTAGAAATTCGTCGATCTTGATTAGAGGTGCAGGCGGAACTGTCCCAATGAACCGTACGACACACAGCAAGTTACGGTTACAGTTGCGGCAAAAACCACATGAATCCCAATTGCCGAATGAATCCCAATTTCCGTATGAATCACAAGTGCCGTATGAACCCAAGTCCATATGAATTCAAAATACCGTATCGATAAATTAAAATTTTGATATCTATCAATATGTCAATCAATACTACAATCAATATATGCGTAACTAATTAGATACATATGAAATATAGTAATATATCAACCAATGATGTAATAAAAATAGTTTATATGTTTATACGCAGATTACAATGAATACGAACAAAGGCAATTCAACTCTAAATAATGATAGTTCCCCACAATTAAATTATAATATCAGCCTTCTACTTTTTAACAATTGTCAAAACCACTTCAAGTATGAAATAAATTATTATATCTCAAGAAGTTGATGATAGTCTAATAACTCATCCGAAGAAGAAAATTTTCTGTCTAATCAGCCTAAAAAAAGACATATAACAAGTTACAACATGTTACAGCAAGTTCGATATATGAAATTGAGATACGGCAAGTTTCAACATATGAAATTGAGTTACAGCAAGTTTCGACATATAAAATTTAGTTACGGGATATACGCACGTTACGGCACGCCTGCACCTCTAATCTTGATCGGTCTTGCATATTACTTGCATATTTCGTAGTCATATAATATTCTATATTTATACCGGTATAAAAAAAAAGTAAAATAAAATAAATAAATTGTATCATAATTGAAAAATTCAAATAAGGATGTTCACAGTAACTGTGGCCACGAAGAGCTTCTGGTTACTTGATTTTATGTATCTATCACCACCCACAATGATTAATACCGATTCCAAGTTCACCCGACCCTTTTAAAGTGTAATTACCAGAAGTAATTGTTTTAATTAGTCGGTTCCACAAACATGGAAATCAAAATCTTAACCACAGTAGTAACCTCTAAAATCATTAAAAAAAGAAATAGATGTTCACAACAAGCCGTTTACCATAGATCGCAATGCCTAACTAGTAACTACTGCAAGTTGTGGCCCGAAGCACTTCTATTATCTTTAACTTCTGATTAAAGAGTCGCGAATAAATACATACAATTAATCAGCAACTATTTAGTTATTATATCATAAATCAGATGTAATTTTCATAGCAGCGAAAACAACCCAGATATTTATGATATATTACCTTGTATGTATCAGCAGTCCGACGTAGTGTTTTGAAAAAATAAAAACTATATACAGAAATATGTAATAATAAAAGGTTTTTACTTGGGTAAAAGTGAAAAAAGTGTAAAAACATTAAAGAAAAAAAAAATAATGAAAAAAACAAGGTAATTTCCTTTGTTTTGATTATTGATCTGATGATGTAATTAAATTATCATATGATGATGATCGACACCAATTAGATTTCAGCATAAATTACATTCTTGATATCTATATAACCTATTAACCCTACCTGCGTCAAAAGTAGAGTTCAGGGCACAGGAAAAAAATTGGGTATGCTCATATAGATATGCCCCTAAGCTAAGGCATGCCCCTCATGCCCATGGGCATGCCTTTTTTAAATCATGTGATTAACATATAGTTCACAACTTCTTAAAAATCTCACATGTTGATTTAGTATCTACAGTTCTAGTTTACCTGAACTTATTAGCCAATTAAAATAACTTTGAACATCACATGACAAGGGCATGCCCTTTGGACTTGAGGCATGCCCATGCAGCATTGGCCTATGACCTGTTATGACCTATTGGCCAACTATAGGTTATGATCTTATGACCTGTTATGACTTATAAAATTTACTATTACATTATGACCACCTTGGTCATATAAAACTGAATATGACCCAAAATAGCCAACACTGTGCCCATGGGCATGCCCTATGCCCCCGTGCCCTGAACCCTAGTCAAAAGGCGTCAAAAAGTAACCATAAACCTCGCTTTAATTGACCACTAAAGCAAATAATATATTGCGCCGATTTTACTAAGTATAAAATTTTGGTCTTTCAACCGCAAACTTTTTTAAAAATTTTTTTTTTTAACATTTATCTATAATGTAGAATACCAACATTTGTTAAAAAATAGACTATTTAAGACAAAGCACTAAATTCTGAAATTTTATTCGACGGTTTAAGGAATAGTTCAAAAAAACTTTAAAGAAGCTTCATGGTCATTATACTTCGAATGATAATTTTTGGGCTGGGAACAGCTGGTTAACTTTTAAATTTCACATCAGATTCGCAATGATCATCGAAATAACCCAACCAACGAATGAGACAATGAATTAAATAAAAAATAAATTTTAATAAAGCAATTTATTATTCTTATGCACCGGACTTATATAGCTTTCCGATTCCTAGTTTCTATTAAACAACTGTTTATAATAGAATTTTTGACTTGAAATTGACAAAAAAATTTTTTTCTTAATTAAAGCTATCTAAAACGATTCTGTCAATATAAGTATGCAACACAAAGCTATTACATTAATTTGGTTTGTTTTTTTAAATGAACAACTAATAAAATCGGTACTCTTTTCGATTTGAAAGTTTCAAATTTCACGTGAGCAAGTCATAAAACGTGTTGAAGCAAAGGAGTACAATGAGTTGATCTCTGATTTAGCCAATCAAAAGGCTTGCTAATCAACCAATGAAATCAAACTTAACTCATGCTCCGGATCAATTATTGTCGCAGCTGATGGACCTATTTTGATACGAAAATTTAAAATTTTTTGAGGTGTTTTTGTCCGTTTTTTTTTTAAGGTTAGGTTAGGATTTAGGGTTAGAATTGATAATTAAAGAGTATATGTGAATTTTAGCAGGGTTTATATTTTCAAATCGAGACTCCAAATTTCAGCATCAGCTGCGACAATTATTTTATTATTGTAACCATCTTTACCAATTTTCCGATAATCTTTTATGATTGTTACCGTTGGAATTGTGGTATGCAATATTTGTTAGGTTGAATTATTATTTTTTCAGATTATGTGAATAACTCAAGCTTCTTTTAGTTTTTCCTATTGTCTGCGTTTATCTGTTGATTGCATTTACCTTGGTTATCTCGAATTCAGGAGTGTTATCTGGATTCTGAAGGGTCTTGGAATACCTTTGCGTATATTTATAGCTAATCATTGATTATGTGTAATATAAATCTTTAGATCAGATTTTCAAAATTCCTTTGCTTTTGCTTTAATATCTAAGCCAACAACTATAAATTAGATCTTTATAATTTTGGACTTTAAGCGTACTTATACGTTTGAAGAGTTGAATTAATCAATGAAACAACTAAAGACACACACATTGGAGATCGATGGAAATCCGTTGAATTCAATGAAGGAAGACTCCTACCAATGTCACAAAATCCAGTAAGCAAGGAAGCTGTTTCTGGTGAGATCTTTCGTGTATATTCGTCAAAATGGGATTATCACTACATCTCAGGGTGAATTGGATTTCGACATTTCTGGTCAGTGAACAATTCGTGCACCTACTTTTGCATTTATTCCAAAAAATATTTACCGTTCGCTTGATTATCAACAACCTTCAAAGGCCAGTCGTTTACACTCATATTTGCTGTGGAGGTCGCAGGTGTCCGAAAAGTTATCGAAAATTTAATGATTTAGATCAAAATTCAGGGAAATTTACTTTGCAACGGGCTCGTCAGTTGACTTTGGTGGGTTAGTGAATCCAAAGAATAAGCAAATATATATTTACAGACAGAGAGTTAGTGGGGTCTGTTTATTGGCCGGAATAATGTAAATGGTGGTAGTATTTTACCGAGATTCGCACTTGAGGTGCAGAAAACAATTTCACAGATAAGTTTTATTACTTTCTATGTTGGTTGTTCATTACCTTTTTTATAAATTCATGCATTCCATAACTAGGAATCCTCAGAATCATTATCATCATCATCAGAAAGTGATGAACTATACATTCACATTATGTAATTGAAATGTATATCTGCGATATGATCTGTTTTGTATGTTGTTTTGACGACATCTCTTATTTCATTAAATAAAGAAGTACGTACCATTATTTTGAAATGTGGAAAAAATTTTCGACTAAATATGTTTGCTAGTACACATCGATGACTACACAATATAATAAAATCCCGAAATACACATGCAAAGTAAACATGATCATATAGCCACCAGGGCTAGCTTAATGTAGAAAATGAAAAAAAATATATATTCTAGAAATTCGAAATTCCGCATGTCTCATTCGAAAAAAATTACAGTATTCTAAATGTAAATCATATAAAGTTAACATTTATCTGCAATTTTAGATATTAAGTTGTATAAATTGATTAGCTAAATTCTTAATTGTTTGTACCTCTTCGGAATAACAATTTCTGGATTTTCATTGTACCATACTTCAAGTAGAAAAATTCTATTATTTTGACCAAAATGGTATTTTTCTATACCATGCATGCGCACGGTATGCTGCATGCATAGTTTAAAAATAAATACAATCCATTTCTGACATAGCAATTGAAATATGAACGTATGATTGGGTGGATTCCGTTCCATAGGCTGAATAATAAAAAAAATTGGAAGATGCAACCTGGTTGGATGGTGTATGAAAGATAATTGGAAACACGGTATACAAAAATTTTTCGCGACAAATACGTGAGTGCCGTGAACCAACTAGCACAATTGCACTTAAACCTTGTCTGGTTGTCCGGTTCTGAGGATTTTTTAAAAGTTAATAACATTTATTGTGCTTATCAGTTATATATACTTATGCAGTTTGACAATCATATGAAACGTACACTTGTGGATAGCAGGCTTAAAATATAAGGTAGATATGCCTAATTTGGCGCACCTAAGTTCTACGATGAATATCACGTGACATATCGATCAGAATCAGATG